AAATTTATATTTATAAAAAATATTACCCCAACTGTTTTCTAATTTGTAAAAAAAAAAAAAAAAAAAAAAAAAAAAAACAATTCTAAAATATATAATACTAATTCTAAGATAAAAGATACTAAACAAAAATCATTCTTTCAGTATTTTTTTTTAGCTAGTTAAGCGCAGTAACACCTTGTTCTATCCAACTTTTTAGACAGAGTGATGCACGCGCAGTCTGAGGGTCAAGACGGTTGTGAACCTTGGTGAGTGTTCCCGCTGCAGTAGAGAAAGCTTCTTCGCAAGGTACACTTGTACTTTGAATTGCCAGATGGTCATGCGCCATTTTCGCAAGTGTTGGATACTTATGTTCATTTTCAGCCCACCATAAAAGAGCATTATTTTTAATAGTCATTGGTATAGACAAATAATCTTCCAATTTTTCTATTAAAGGTTGTTCGATTGTTTGTTGTTGAGTTAATAATGACTCGAAAAATTTTCTTTTATTTTTAGACGCTGATTTTAGGGTAGGTGTAGTGGTAGTTGCTGTAGAGGTTTGCGAATTATATTGAGACATTACATTTCGTAGACTAGTTAGAGCAGCGTCTTTTTGATGACAAAGAGAAAAGTCATAAGCTTAGATGATGGGTCGAGAATCGAGGCGATAGTAGTTGATTCTTCAAGGATGGACCAATATTCATTTAGCTTAGATCTAATAGCATCTGCCATTGTATACTGTTCTGTTGAGTGTAGTTCGCCATCCATAAACTTATTAAGATGATGGAGAAGTCCCAAAAAAGTTAAATGGATGTCAGAAATAGTTGGATAGGAGCTTGATGATAATAATTCTGTTGTGACGAGCATAGGTTCTAATAACTCAATCATGATATCTATAACTTCCCATTCCTTATCGTTAGGATAAGCACTTTCTAGTTGTTTTTTATGCGCAGTTACAAGTAAACTTAATTCATTAGCATTTTTTTAAATCTATGAAGCATGCTATAGGTACTGTTCCAACGCGTGCTTAAAATAATGTGATTAAAATAACAA